ATAAAAAAAAAAAAATTTGTTTAAATCAAAAATTTTTACCCATTTCTCAAATCGAGCCGATCTCAGATGCCTGTCTGTGTGACGTCACACAGACAGGCCCCTCCCACGATAGTTTGATTGACAGTGGCGTTTCAGCACAGACTGGACTGGCCTCTTATGATGAATGCGGCTAAAGTAAACAGTCCCTCTGAGAGCGGCTCGGAAGAGAGGGGCGGGGTCAGCAGAGCTCATTAACATTTAAAGGGAAATGCTACAAAACTGCTCTGAAAAGAGCTGTTTTTGACAGGGTAAAAGGGTGTTTTTTACACTACCATTGAGAAATTTTAACCAAACTAGGTTACAAACTTTTCATTAAGACCCTAAAGAATCATATTAACTTGTGGAAAATGTGCATCCGATGACCCCTTTAAGCTTTTTTTCTATTTTTTTTTTTTTTATCAGAATTAATTAAAAAGTAATTGATATCTGTTGAAAATTGATTTTCAAACTTGCATTGCTGCAAGACATTTTACATGACCTTACATTTAGAGAACATGTTGACATTCTGTGCTCCTTTCAGATATTTATAATTTCAACTTGGCTAAAATGTTGCAGGAATATTTATCAGAACAAAGGGTTTTTCATAATGTACTTTAATCATGTCAGGAAGATATCAGTCCTGCTGGTTGATGATAAATATGAACACGAGTATGTGCCACCTCAGTGTGCAGTGAGCCGTGCTCCTTTACCAGTGTCTGAATTCATGCACGTGATGTACAGATTCACGCGTTCTCTTTGCTCTTTGAGTGCTATTGTCTCATACACTTTCAACAAAACTGTGAACTCCCAAACGCTTGACTGATAGCCAGTGTATTTAGGGCATCTTCAAGGCTACTTCAAAGCAATTTACTTGAGAGCATTTTAGGTAACACTTTATTTTAAGGTGTCCTTGTTACACGTTACATGTACTTACTATTATAATAACAATTAATTATGCATAATTACATGCATGTAACCCTAATCCTAACCCTATAAGTACATGTAGTTAATTAACATTGTACTGATAAAAGAAGTCAAAAACTCTCTAAACCTCATATCAAATGAATCGAAGATTTCATTTGACCTCCAGAGATAGCTGAACAGCGTTTTCTGAATAGTAAGCACCTTCTTTCAAAAAATAAAATATTAAATAAGTGCCTTAAAGAAGTCTTCCCGGAGCTCGACAATGAACAAAGTGATACATCAAAATAAACATCTACATTTAGGTGTGGCGCACCTGATGCTTTTTATTTTGATTTGAATAGCCATAAATATATTAAAAACACAAGATAAAACTGGGACTGCTATTGTATTATAGGTCTGTAGAGTAGAGTTACTGACTGACTTTCTGAATTGTACTTTACACACAGTGCAGATTGTGTTTTTCCTTTCACCATGAATTCACAATATACACACATATATATATATATACACTGAACAAAATTATAAATGCAACACTTTTGTTTTTGCCCCCATTTTTCATGAGCTGAACTCAAAGATCTAAGACTTTTTCTATGTACACAAAAGGCCTATTTCTCTCAAATATTGTTCACAAATCTGTCTAAATCTGTGTTAGTGAGCACTTCTCCTTTGCCGAGATAATCCATCCGAAAATCCATCCGGGGTCCGAAAACCATTCAGTATCTGGTGTGACCACCGTTTGCCTCACGCAGTGCAACACATCAACAACCTTATCAACTCTATGTGAAGCCGTGCATTATCATGCTGCAACATGAGGTGATGGTCGTGGATGAATGGCACAACAATGGGCGAGTGGCCTTTTATTGTGGCCAGCCTAAGGCACACCTTTGCAATAATCATGCTGTCTAATCAGCGTCTTGATATGCCACACCTGTGAGGTTGATGGATTATCTCGGCAAAGGAGAAGTGCTCACTAACACAGATTTGTGAACAATATTTGAGAGAAATAGGCCTTTTGTGTACATAGAAAAAGTCTTCGATCTTTGAGTTCAGCTCATGAAAAATGGAGGCAAAAACAAAAGTGTTGCGTTTATAATTTTGTTCAGTGTATGAAGAGCAGATTGTGCAGACACTGGTCAGAAATCTAAAGCTGAACAAACATGACATGATTTAAAGCAAACAAAACAGGAAATAGCTAAAGGTTTTGCAGAGTTTTGTTGCAGACTTCGGCCAGCCCATTTATGTGATGTATTCTCAGTGAAGCATTGAAAGAGAATAAATGCAGGATTGTGAGATGCGGATGTTGAGTTGCAGATCAGCTCCAGAATGGGCAGTCTTTAAGGCTCCGGTGATTGCTACAAAAACATTACTGTGTCCATCAGAAAAAGAAAAAAAAACTACTTTGACATCACAATTCACAGTGTACTTTTGGGGGATTCTGTGCCAGTAACACAAGTGCTACTGAGATCAAAGAAAGCAAACTAATAACTTTCAGATGCATTTTCCACAGTTAATTAACTAATTTAGTTAAAAATAATTATATTATTATTCAATAACCCATTAAATAGACATTTTTTTTAAATCAGATAACTTGAATGTAAAGAGTTAGATAATGCTTTAATCCTTTGTCCACTAACCTAACTTATGTATTTTAACTGAATGTATTTCGTGTAAAATGTGGTTCTACATTTGAGTACATATGAATGTTTGCAGACACATAAACATACACTAATTACGTATTGACAGCATCTAAATCATAAATCATTTACATACAGACATACAAATGTTTATAATTCCTTTGAATGCTTAATATAATCAATCATAAATCCAATAGAATCAACTGATTAATTTCATTTAAAAAAACGTGTACTAGTCATTGTTTTAGATGCTGTCAGTACATTTATATATCAGCATCTATAAAAACATACACAGTAGTACCTTTTTGTACTTGTAAATGTTACATACAAATGTGATCAGTCTGATTTTAAACCAGTAAAGCAATTGCTAATGGTTCATGTAAACATTGAAAAGTTATTAAAAGTAAAGAAATGTTTGTCTATGAAGTGCATTGATACACATTTATGTTTAATGTATTTGGAAACATTGAGGAGCACTTCCTATTACTAGCTAATGTTTAATAAAGGTAGGTTTAAAGCACTAAATTAATGGCAGTTCAGAATTTTCCATGACCTAAAGTAAAAACTAATTACTCCCAATAACCATTAATAACTCTACTACTGGTTTAAAATACTGTACATTAGTTATGTATGGTTAACAAAGGATGAAAAACACAATCTAATTCTTTACATATGAGCTAATTAAACAAAAACATTTTGTCAATTGCAGTGTTAATAAATGAAGAACTCACTATTTGTATTTAGCCTGTTAATGCATTAACAATGTAGCAACAACAGTTTATAAATCTATGAATTAACGATAATAGTTTGCAAATGATTTTAAAATGCTTTGTTACTGTATACTTTTAATTAAGTGTCACTCATTATGAATTCGATCAGTTGATCTCAGCCAAAACTATTCTGAAAATGTTACTTTTAATATTCTTTATTGCTTTAAAACATGACCTTACACACAAAAAGACCACAGTGAAGCAAAAACACTGACAAGAACGCAAAGAACTAAATATGAACATATACAACAAAAATGAAGCACAGTGACAAATCTCATTTTGGCAATGCAACTAGTCTTTGACAGAAAGTATGTCTGGAAAAAAATAAAAAATAAACATGAGGATATTGTTTATTGTAACGTATTTTATAAAAATAAACATGTTACATGCTATATTATACTCTAAAATATAGTTACTATTTGTCTCTGGTACATATTACTATAAATCATAAGATACATGTGATTTCTCTTTAAAAAAAGTTATTTTGATAAATATTTGCAATGTTATTCTCAAAATGATTTGAAGCTTCACAAATATCTCATGTTCTTTACAATATTTTTTTGTTGAGCATAGAATAATACTTTACTTTTATATGGCAATATTGTAAAACACTAGATTGTATCTGTACTTTTACTGATCTTTTAATCAAAATCTAGCATTGAACAGTCTTTCAGTTGCTGGCTTGACAGAGCCCACTTCATCCAATTCTATTTTAAAGTAGGGATAACATGCAAGACACCAAAACAGTGAGATGTTAATTATTTAAATATCACAGTAGTAGAGCCTTACATGGATTATAAGACCATCATGTAACCGTTTATACCCTTGATTGGAAGAGGAGACAGAAAAGTTTTCAGACATTACAAGACAGCAGTTGGTTTTATTAAAATACATATAAAACTATTCTGTGTGTGTGGACGGGGATGGGGTTATGTTCTCAAGAGTGCACAACGGATGACATCACATGAAAATCCCCAAAAATAAAGTTTTCTACATTTAAGACGTTTCAGATTATGGAATAGAAGAAAAACAATGCAATATTCAAAAAATACTGTGAAACATTGGTTATTTGTGTACTTATATAGGCTATACGTGGAAACAGAATGGTTTTGTTTTATGTACACAAGCATTAGCTTAGTGATTGCACTAAATTATGCAGATATCATGAGCTCAGCCCACTCCTCGAATACAAAAAACGATGCCACTACATGTATGAGGTATGGATCTGGATGAGTTTGTAGGGGTTTAGAGCAAGAAAGGATTTTTTTGTGCATTAGCAAACAGGAGCGCCTTTTTACATCTTGGTCTCAGCTCAACCGTTGTATCCTTTCAATTAAAATTCCAGTGAATTTAAATCTGCTACATTGTCTGCCCTGGACAGGTGTTTCCTTCCACTATCTTGTTAGAGGGCTTTTGTGTTCATAAATATTCATTAAAAAAAGTGTCAATTCAGACGCTTACAGAAATACAAATCCAGACACTGTGAATGCGATATTGTGAAAAAGGTATTTTTCAGTATTTCATGTCACAACAAACAAAATTGAAAAACAAGCACATTACCATATACCCAACTCTCTCTCTACCTAATTTACAAAATCTGTTACCATGTAATTCTCTGTTATATATATATATATATAGCCACCCTCAGGTCATGTGTTTTAGATCTATAATTTATAATCTATTTTTAGTTCTATAATGTCTCTACAGTAATTGCAATAATGATAATATAGTTTTTCCATAATATGTTATATAAACCATTTTTAGGACACAGGATAATCCCACCAGCCCTTCCCTAGACAGTCACTTTGTTGTTTAAATATAGGAACAACTAAATATACAAAAACTAAGAGTGAACAGCCCTGTTGATCATCTAGAATGCACAGGATCAGCTGTATTTGTTTTCTCACTTCTGTGCACATATAATGTAAAAGATCCTTTGTAGGTACAAGTTGGCACAACCTTCATAAACAAATAACAGTAGATATTTATGCGTTTATGGAATTTAGCAGGCGGCGAACAGAAAGGCAAGTAAAAATGTAAACCGATGTATGATCTAAAGAGATTCCTGCAAGAGTGTTGAGCAGCTGTCTTTCTGGCCTGCCCCACGAACTCATGCATGAATGAGTCATTACTTGCTGGGCAAGGTTTTAATAGAGAGATTAAGAGAGCCCATGTTGGTGGATGTGTGGAGTTGAGGACTTGCACTCTTATTGGGGAGGCTAGTAGAATGTCCCATTGCCTCTTCAGCAGCACGAAGAAGAAGGGTGTAGTTGACAGCTACCTCCTCTACCTTACGTAAAAGCTGTAGTTTTTGAGTTTCAGATCGCACACCCCTGACCAGCCGAATGAATGTTTGAGTAAGGTTGCACAGCACCTGGAAGCTAGCTGTGACAGCACTTAGCATTCGTGATGGACTTTTCTCAACACTTGCCACTCGTCTACATGATGCCCTGAACTCTTTAAAATGGACTGCGAGTTCTTGCTTGTACTCTGCCAGTTTTGCAGGAGGGATACGAGGTTCACCCTCGAATTGGGGACTGTTGGCATACTGCCTTAAAATTGAGAGCAGCTCATTGGCATCAAGTTGTGCGTTTAGGAATCCATCAGGTAGCGAGAATGTTTTGCCCTGCAAGGACTGTACCCTTGCCAGGCTAGATTCCAGATTCCCACAGGCCCGCAGATCAATTCTCTGTGTTTGTGGCTCCTCTTCTTCCTCCTCCTCTTCCCCAGTGCAATCCTCTGCATCGAGTACCTGAAGTGTTTTGCTGACTATTGGCATTGCCCTTGAGTCTAGGTGCATTCCGGGCAAAACCTGCAGGGGGATGGAATAAGACAGTTCATCTTTTTCACTGCTCTCATCAGCAGCTTCACATTTGCGATAACAGAAGCAGAAGGAGCAGCATTTTTCTCTGTCCTCGGTATCCTCATTTGGCAACCCTAAAACCTCAGTGGTACCCTCACGACTTTCCTGAAGCAGCTCCTCTCCCTGAATAAAAAATATCCCCTTCTTCTTTGCATCCCCATCTTTAGTATGTAGAGGCTCCACTGGAGTTGGAAGTCTAAGTCCAGTGGCCCTGACTCTTTCCATTTCTTTCTCAAGGCTCTTTGCTTTTGTAGTTTTAACCTCAGCGTACAGGGGGGTGCTGTCATTATTGTCAATCTCCCCTATGCTATATCTCCTTTGTAACTTTTTGTACTGTGGTTCACCCATGCATTCTGAACGGGTAGCGCAAGTAGGCAAACACGACGTGGGTGTATCTCTTGGTTCCCTTGACTCTAGGCTTGTGGAGCGGATTCGAGTGGTTTTGATTTCCAAAGTCTGAGGTTTATGTAATTCTCCTTGAGCATGTGGAGACTTTGGAATTGCTGGGAGTGTTTTGGAGACTGCTCTTTCTCTTCCTCTCTGGTCCGCTGCAGAACCAACAGCTGTATCCGGGAGACGCATTCCGCGGCACATTCTCTTACAATCACAGCTGCGTCGCTGTTCTCGTGAGATCCCAGGAACTTTCTGTACAGGACTCGTGCGCAGCTGGCAGGCACATGGGGTAAATGAGGGAACAGGAGAGGATCCCTGTGGTATGAACTCTCCTTGTGATGTTTTAGGTTTTAGAAGCTCCTCCAGGAACTCTAGCTCATACTGCCTGACCTTTTGAAGTTGAGCACGACGCTCATCTGTCTCTCTGCGCAAACGTGCTGGGAAAGTGGCTGAAATTAAGTTCCTAAAACTCAGGAAGGGAGTACTACGCTGGGATTTGACTTTGTTATTTGCCTGTTTCTTGTACTCGGCTCCTGGGATAGTTGCACCCTTTTCCGCACAACTTAGGACAAGTGTTGGGTCTACCAGAACAGGCAAACTTTTAGCAGGTCTCTGTGGTTCCACAGGGGCTATACTCTGGGAGTTTTCTGCCTTTGCCTCTGACATCTCTTTCCGTTCTACTTTAACAGGCATAACTGGTGAGTACTTGGTAGGAGGCAGGGTGCTAGGCTTAGCCAAGCTTGCATCAGATGTCTTCGCTGTGTTCTCTTTGTTGTTAGCTAACTGAAGTCCTTTGGCACACAGACACTCATCATCTGTGGGAGATGATGAGTGAAACACCACCACTTTTTGGGCCTGTGGATCTTTCAGACGCACCTGTGGGCCAGGCTCTGGTCGTACCGGACAGGTGCAAAACAAGTCAGCAGCTGGCAGAAGGCCCTTGGAACGTGAAGGCTTAGTGGTCTCACTTGAGGCATTCTCGGCATCTTGGCACATATTTGTCGGACAAATCTTAGCAGATGCAGTTCTATCCACAGGTAAGAGGACAGGTAAGGCTATACTGGTAGTTTCTAGGGTGACTGTACCAAAATCTTTTTCCTGGACACCTTCTGAGGTAATGGAGCTTGTTTCTTCTTCATTAGCTTGAGGCAAATGATCCGTGTTGACTTTAGGAGCACTCTCTTGCTTTGATGCTTTAAGTTCCTCAGATGTCTGCTGTTCAGACTTTTCCAAGCACTCTTTGACAGGGCCTTTTTCCATTTTTTCTATATCCTTTTCACTTTTTGTTTCATGGCTCTTCCCCTGCTCCACAGAGTTGTCAGAAGGGCCAATTCCTTGATTGGGGCATACTTTCAAGGGCACAGTCTTACTTAAGATCATAGGCTTTGGTGGACACCCGCCACGGATCTGACTCATTGAAAAAGCCCTCCCACCAATTGCTTGTGTGGTACAGCCAGGGATTGTCAAAGGGAAGTCTCGCCGACTGAAAAGTCGCTCTTTGTTGATGTGGTGGGCAAGTAGATAGGCCTGGTTCTGATGCTGCTTCATGGCAGACACCATCTCAGACACATCAGTTAGCTCTGATGAATTTGTCTCATGTCCAGAGTCTAGGGATGATTCAGGGGTTATGGCAGCAAGCACAATCAACCCTGTGAGAGAACAGAAAGAAAACAACCATGCTCTTAATAAATCACATAAGATCACTTCAGATAAGCAAAATTATAAGGACAAAATGCATGTTCTAATTAATAATTAAAAGTAAAACATTACATTCTAAAAATTCCTAAAGTGTTAAGATCCTGTTTGTTATTTTGTTGGTATGAAGTAGGTAACACTGCATTGGTACTTGTTTTGGGACCTTGATATGTTAGGCTTCTGTAATTTGAAGGTAATTAAGTGTACAAACAACCCATTTTTAATGACTATTTCTGATTTTATAGTTTGCTTGACTTTCTAAAGATTCATTTACTCATAGACATGTAAAGAACCAGCACTTTTAATAGTACATATGTCCACCTGCTGTCTGTGGTGTCTGCTGGTGATGGTGTGGGTAATCCTCCGATGCAGCTAGTGCTTCCAGCGCCTGGAGGGTGGACACTAATGCATCGTCTAACTCCTGAGCATGGTCTTGAACCGTCCTAGTGGTCACATTATCAATCAGTGTTACAGGAACGTCCTCTCGACCCTCTGCCACAGCAGCAAAGGCTTTGATTCCTTTCCGACCCTTTTTCGGGTCGTCTTCATCAGAACTGTTATCACGAAACCCTGGAGGTGGTGCTGCTATGGCAGGAGGGTGAGGCTGCAATTTTCCTCCTCCATCATCCATCTCCTCATCTTCCTCATTCCCAGGGAGCGGTAAGGCAATGAGATCAACAGCCCCTCCTTCACGGGAAGCACATGCATTTGTGCACTGCTGCAAAATAAGCCTTCCTGCCTTCCCAGTGTCTGAGATCAAACCTTCAGCTTGGAGTTTTGCCTTGCAGGAATCACAGAAAAACCTCTGTGGAGGCTCCATTGTTTTCGCTCTGTTCCTGAAGCTTGAGCTGTCATCGGCGGGACCGTCTTGTTCAGCCATTGACTCAGTGCTCTTTAGAGTGGGGTCAGACTTTGTGCGTGAACGACTCTGTACCTGCGAGATAAGGTTCTCATTAATGTCAAGCTCCTGTTCAGCTTGTATCTGAAGCTCTTGCAGCTGTTGTTGCTCTTTTAAATGGATGTGACACAGGCCAAGGTGCTGAGATATGGGTGATGCTGATGTCTTCTGTGTTGCCTCTCTGGACGACCCCTCTCTCTCTTCTTGCCGACTCCCACTTGACACAGTGGCTCCGGAGCGGAATTGGGCATGGGAGCTTCTGGAATCTAAATGACAGAACTGTCTGAGTGGTTGAACGAGTAGAAAACATGATGGATGGGAATGAGTCCAGATGACAAAGGTGAGTCTGTTGAATTGAGTTCTCAGAGATGGAAAATAGCCTTGTGGGATGTGATGACATGCTGTGATCTTTCTCTTTGGCAGACCACAGGAGATGTGAACATCCAATACATAGTTTAGTTGCATGATGCAAAATATACTCAACTTCCAGAAATATGAATATATCTTGATTAGCATTTCAGTTACGCCTGCATAAACTGACTCAAAATGAGGATGGAGAGCTCAAGAAGATGGAGGGATCACTCTGGAATTATGAATGATTGCTACGATAAATCTTTATAACATAATCAGAGATTCCTTTTGAAAGCAACCTGATCAATTCGTGTCATGAATGATTCAATTATTTATTTATTTATTTTTATAATTTAATTTATTATGTTTTTTATTTTAGATGTCACCATGGACATTTTCTCACCATTATTACATATATTTTATTTTGAAATGTCCCAAATTGCATATGCAATGCAACATATTTTAGTTCAGCTAGTCAGTGAAAGATGAAAAGCAAAGCAAATGCACTGTCAGAAAATTACATGCAATGACTTTGTTGTATTTTTAATGAAATTGCAACAATAACAATACGATTTCTAACATACCTGCCTTGATCATATAAGGCTGACCAGGTATCCTGCAGTAGATTGTCCTTTTAGGGTCCACAAATAGCTTGTAATAGCCAGAGATCAAACAGGCAAAGTTTGATGCATCTGGCCACTCCATTAATAAGACCAAGGGCTGCATTAATTAGTGTGGAAACAGATATTAGTATAGTTTTGCTTTTTAGAAAGTTATATATTGCAATGCTGTTTCAGAGCATTTTTCCACACCTTTGCCTCCAGAATAACAACCTCCACCCGGGCTACTCCATGGTGCTCTCTGAAGAGCTGGACCTTGGCCACGCGGCTGAACTCTGCTAAGACAGTTGTTAGGTTGTTCTTCAGGTCAATCACATGACTGATACCGTGTCTCGGCCCAACCAACAATGTAGTGGCTGACTGCTTCTCATCCTTTCAATAGAAAACGAAAATGAGAATTTTAATAGCAGAAGGACAGACAATGTATTTATTTTTTAAGTTTGAAAGGTAATATGATATTAAGAACATTTTTGTAAAACCATGAAATCAACGCAAAAATGTCTTGATTATTGTTTGAGAAGCTATCTCAGATTCATGTTACCAAGCCAACTGTGTGAAACAAGAAGCCTCCAAATGGTGGAAGGTCATTCAAGACACGCATGTACTGTAGTTTCCCTTGAAGAGGAGAAACCTGCATAAAAACATGGGTAAAGAGAAAATAAAACTGGTGAGTTGTGCAAGTGCATAGAGGGTGACATTCTGGCCAGCAGAGGGCAATGTTTTGCTGCTATAAGATCTGCTATGTACAGTATATCAATGATCAGTATGAAGAAATGAATTGCATTCTGTTTTGCATATCACTATTTCACCATTACACGTATCAACTATGCTCTTAGGGCAGAAAATTAACACCAATACAAAAACCATTCTTCCTTAGACTGAAGAGATAAATAGTTTATTTGTTGCACGTTTCTTGATTCACATTTGAGGAGAAAGACCTCCATTTAAGATACACTGTTTAAAAAAAAATTTACTGGTAATTTTCTGCCAGGACATTATACATCAATTTCATGGACATTTCAGTTAAATATTCCTGAATAACTCCACCTGTATGTAGAGGTACTCAAATGCAGCGGGGTCTCTCCTCAATAAGTCAGCAGGGTCTTTTGGGAAGAAGCAAATACGCAAAAGACACTTCATTCCCTGGAAGTAGGTCCTGTGAACTACCTGAAAATACAGAATAAAATACACCTTTGAAATAAAACTAACAAACATTTCAGTACTAAATTGGCACGTTGCATTCCTTACAGTAGAAAGGTGTTTGTGCTGCTTGCAGCCATTCCAAATTAAATTAATTATCCTGTAATTCAGATTCTTATTGAAAGAACAATCACACACCGTTCCATTACTGTATATTCATATACAATGGCGTCCATGAGTCTGAGACCACACTGAATAGAAAATCTATGATTCAAAATCCAATTTAAACCAGTGAACATTTTAAGATTTGGAAGAATTGAATTGAAAATGTAATTTATGTTGCTAATCAAATAACTGAATTAGTGACTGAGCATTTGAAATGCCTTGTACAGATGGTCAGATGTTCTTGCATCCATTGGAGCACAAGATGCTTTTTGGAATATTTTCAAATCATTTGTATCCAGTAACATTAACATCAGTCATAAATACTATTAAATATGATTAAATCAAATTAATATGCTAATACTACTACAATAAAATGCTTATATATTTCTACAGTATACATTTGTCCAGTGACAGATGCTCTACAAACCACTATATATATTTTTTTACTTTGTTAAAGGGATAGTTCACCCAAACTGGAAAATTGTGTCATTAATTACTCACCCTCGTGCCCTTCCAAACCCGTAAAACCTTCATGACATCGTTAAAATAGTCCATGTGACATCAGTGGTTCAACCGTAATGTTATGAAGCCACGAGAATACTTTTTGTGCACAAAGAAAATAAAAAATAACAACTTTATTCAACAATTTCTTCTCTTCCATGTCAGTCTCCGCAGCCATTCACAAGAGTACCACGACGTATGCGTGTGCATTCCTCTGCTCGTAAACAAGGTGCAGCGCATGCGTGATCTACATCAGAACACGCATGCGTCGTGGTACTCTCGTTAACGCGCATCGAAAACTGGCATGGAAGAGAAGAAATTGTTGAATAAAGTCATTATTTTTGTTTTCTTTGTGCACAAAATGTATTCTCGTAGCTCATAACATTACGGTTGAACCACTGATGTCACATGGACTATTTTAACGATGTCCTTACTCCTTTCTGGGCCTTGAAAGTGGTAGTTGCGTTGCTGTCTATGGAGGGTCAGAAAGCTCTCGGATTTCATCAAAAATATCTTAATTTGTGTTTGATTTGTGAACGAAGGTTTTACAGGTTTGGAACGACATGATAGAGTAATTAATGACAGAATTTTAATTTCTGGGTGAACTATCCCTTTAAGGTTGCTTGTTGCAGCTCGCCATAGAAAGCTGGTGTGAAGTACCTTGTGCTCCACATTGAAGGCTGCTTTTAAACCTTTTGAACTGTAGAGGGCAGGAAAAGCATCAGTTGGTGTTTTTTGGGTGGCGTTTACTCACATGAGACAGAGGCTGGCTTTCCTGGAGCAGATGCAGCCTCTGATTCTGGGCCAGTCCACCAGACTCCAGAACCAAAGCAAAATGCTCGATGTAGCGTAGAGAGAGGCGATCCTGCAGCGACGATATCACATCCTGTGGCGAATGGGAAAAGGAGAACAAGTTCTAGCATTCTGTAGTAACTCTAATGGTTGGTGTTTTTAGCTCCTATGAATTCTGCTGTATTACAATATCTCAGATATTACAGTGGAAAGCAACAGCATTGGCAGTACATGTAGTAATATGAAAGAAATGTAATAACTCTTCATTATGTTATGTGCAGGAAAAAAACACGAACTTCTGCGGAGAGTAATGTTCGCGCCGCACTGTCAGTTTGGTGGCGCTAGTAAACATTGAGCGGCGCCGATGACAGGTCAGCGCGGCGCGAACACTTTAATACCGCGCTGTTTCATCCCACTTTTGGTGTGTTTGGCTTCCCATAGCAGAGTGAAAACTACAGGAGGACAGTCTTTCATCAGTGATAAAGCACTGAAATCAACACTCCTAGTCACTGGACCCTGCTCTGGAGACAAATGGATGCGTTTTACTAGTGGTTTGCTTCTGAAATGGATGACAAATATTTCATGAGGTTTCCATGTGACCAAAGCAAATACTGTGCTCAAACACTCTGCTGAAGCATCGATGCATGCTTGTGTGGAGCAGAGAGCACTGGCTGCTGTGCTGCGTTATTGTGTTTGATGACAGTAACTCCAGCTATGGGAGATAGACAGATTGCTGTGCTGTGTTCTGTCTCCAGGATTGAGATAATCTGTTTGATGATACTGACCAAAGGCTGAAGATATCAGCTCAGGAGCGACTGTGAGAAATGTTAACCATGCCGTGATACCACAAATGTAGGAGAGGTAAAAGCTCACTAGGTGTTTTGAAGGTCTGAAACCAACAAACCTCAATGACTCATCTACACCTTCAAAAAAGTATAGAGCCTTTGAAAGCGAAATAATTGAATAAAAACTGTATTGCATTTCTTTCAGTTGATCATAGTTCCTGGAATTCATTGTTTTAATCTGACGTAACGTGTACAAAAGAAAGTGCTCACCCTTTTTACCTTTTTTGCTTTCAGAAAGAAAAAAAATATAATGTTGGCTCATGACTTTTCTAAGCCATGTTACTGTATTCGGTAACACTTTAGAATGATGGTCTGTATGCAGGAAATAATAAAGGACAAATGAATAGTACTACCATAACACTTGAGCTACTAATATTAATATTGAAACAGGATTATCTAATCAGGAAGTAGTGGCAAATTTAGGACTATTATTAGGTAATCAATAATTATTGAATGAGAGGAGCATCATTAAGAACTACTAACTATGAGCAATTATAAAGAATTGCCATTCACTTTAAAATAATGGTCCAGATCACTAGTAGCTCCTGCACAGTGACTAGGTAACACTTGAGTCGTGAGGGTGTACAGTGAGAATAACCTCGTTTAAAAACAAGGGAGGATTTATTGTCCACAAATAGTTCTAAAAGAATATTTTACTTAAGAAAGCTTACGAAACAACAGTTTTAATATTTTTAGAATTTCTCAGAAGCAGTTCTTTGGATGAAATCACATCTTTACAATAGAAAGTGATGTGTGTGCAACGGCACCAGATCTCCTTATTTTGACTGCTTTACAGGGGTCCCAAAGGATCTATTCTAGCTCCAGTCTTATTTAAACTTTATATTAATGACTTACCTAATGCATGTCCAAATGTCAATATTCAAATGTATGCAGATGATGCAGTATTTGTTACTCATGCAAATGACATTCAAGAAGCATCCTTCAGTCTCACATCTGCATTCATCCATGTTCAGGATGGCTTACTATTTACTGTTTATTGAATATAAAAAAAAAAGTGTGTATGAGGTTTACAAAACAACCAGTTGCGTAGACACATTCTATTGTGTTTCTGAAAGGGGAGGAGCTTGATATTGTAAATGTAAAAAAAAGTATCTCGTGGTCACACTCTATATTAACCTTTAAAAGTCATGTAAAAAAAAAAAACACTGTAAAATTTAATTTACAAAATTCCAAGCAAATTAGACCATTTTTAATGCCGCTATGTATGGAGCTTGAAATATGACAAAATTATTTAAATTTGATTTGAAGTGTCATTTAACAAAACTGAATATTATGTGGCATTTAACATAGTTTTGAATTTTTTTTTTTTTTACTTGAATATTGAACATTTGAAATTTAACACAATTGAATTTTTTATGGCAGAGTTTTATAAACATGTATTTTCAAAAAGCGGATTTTTTGTTCTGAGTTCTTAGACTGCAAATATCCAGCTTTTAAAAATACAGCTTGAAGTTTTCAAGATGAAGAAGAAATTCAGAACATCAAATTCAATATTCTAAAATTCAAAACGCAGAAATTCAGCTCAGAGGTCATCCACAAGGAAGAGTAGATGATCTCCGAAAAGTTGAACGAAGCATTTTGGCCTATTACTACGGTGACCGGGAGGGAACATGTTCGGTTCACTTAGTTTTGTCATGGCCACTACATATTAACTCGTGGGAATATGGTAATATGTCGTGGCCATGAGATCCTGTGTTGAGGTAACCACAGTCGAATGAGGCATCTACCTATACATAACATGGAGGTAACGACATCCTTATGTCGTGGCCATGAGTTTATGCGTAAACAAACCTGCGTGACCATAGCAACCTGCGATTATCAGAGATGGATTTATTAATATTTTATTTTGAATTAAGAAATTATTATAGAAATTATTACATTATTAAATTATTATATTAATCATAGGGCGAGGCTACCAGACTGTATTGCACGCGATGTAGACAGCATTCGATTGAAGTTTATTATGAATAAATGTTGCATAAAGTACAGAAAATAAAATAGGCCTACAAGAAAACATTTTTATCTATCCCACAGTCTTGTAGTCCATTAACTGATAATCTTTTTTTTCCATAATATTTGTATATTATTATTATTATTGGTTATATTTTTTATATTCGTTGTTAAGTATTTGATTTATTTTCCATTGTTTTCAATCTCTTTACTTAATGTTCTGAGTAGTTTTGTAAATAATAGCCTACTGTAAATGCTCGACATGCCAGTAAAGCTTTGATTATGCTGTATGACTGGAATTTTTAATGGAAGTGCAGTTTAAAGGTTGAATTTAAGTGTAACTATATATTTCATTTTATTTAGTCTAATTAATAGGCCATTATAAATATAGTGTTTCGTTGAGGAATGAATCATTCGCATAGTTTCATTTGTAAATGAAAACACGCTCATTTATCGTCACACACGGGCGTAAATACAATCAAAGGTCAAAACTTTATTGGCATAATTGTCAGGCGTTTACAGTATTTGCAAAATATGGTAGCATATTAATAATACTAGCATATTACAGAATGTTAATTAGGTAAAGTGCTACACGAATTGAAAGGGGAAATTAAGCTTAACAATAAATACCAGTTAATATAATAATAATATTATTATAAAAGTATTATATAAGCCTTCAGTTATATAATAATAATAATAATAATATACAAATATTAAATAAAAAGACACGATCACTCAACGGATTTACAAGACTGTGGGATGTAAAAATGTTTTATCCATGTGTGATAATCGCAGGTTGCTATGGTAATGCAGGTTTGTTTACGAATTAAACTCGTGGCCACGAGAAAAATATTTATTAAATAAATAAATAAATAAGTACTTTTTCATTTTCAGAATTCACAGTGTATGTATAGCCACAATCAATTAATAATCATTAATTAAATAAACGTTTTCAGTACAAATAAGCACAAGTCAAGCTGCGATAACAAACAGGACCACAGGGAGATGCCAAAGACCACTAAAGCTCCTGCCTTGACCTGACTGTAACTATATGGATCCATTCAGAATCACCAAACCTCTGACCAGCGCATAGTCTAAAACACCTTCAGCCAGCATCCATTATAAAACACTCTTGTTTTTAAGCCAAATACACGCTGGAAAGAATAATTCTGTCAGGACCACTATCGTCAAAGATGATTGACAATTAGCTAGTCTGATTCAAAGAAGAATCAGAAGGCTGAATCCTGACTGACAGAGGAGGAGTTGGGGATGGAGGAGGGTAATTAGCTATTGAGCAATGCGAAAACTGCTGATAATACTGGGGGACCATATATATGAATGCTTAGATAGGTGTCGTATTCCCATAGGTAAATGGGGATCAGCTGAGAGTCTGACCTGCCAGAACTAACGCTACGCTTGATATTACTGACATCTGGATGTAAGTCACTATTCTCTCCGCAATCTCTGTTGAAATCGGCCGTGTTTTCTCTGCATTAGCACTGTTTTGAACTAACTGTTTTAATTTGCTTACTGGATCCTTGGTCTTTCCAGGAGTTTACCGGTTTAAAATAATGTGATCGCAAAAACCTGCTTCTTTTCATTTTTAAGGTATTGTTTTCGTTATAATGTACTGATTCAAATTAGTAATCAATAATGAATTATTATTCTATCTCTCCTGACATACTCTCTTGCCCCACACATTGAAAACACCTGTGGTAGACCGACTCCGCTTGCATTCATTCATGTGAATATTGTAGAGATGAGAGGTGACCCCTCCTGGTAGTGTGCTTTATATAGAGTCATTTCTAATCACCCAGACACTGACGCTTTGACAACATGTCAGAAGTGCCGGTACGCTAAAGACTAAAATATAGAAGTGCCGGTATTGCATACCGGTCTGTACCGGCCCACTTCAAGCACTGTCGTTCCCTCAACATAACATCTCGAGGCCACTACTTCACATCGCGTGGCCATGACATGTTCCCACGAGTTAATATGTAGTGGCCATGACAAAACTAAGTGAACCGAACATGTCCCCTCCCGGTCACCGTAGTAATATGCCAAAATGCTTCGTTCGACTTTTCGGAGATCATCTACTCTTCCCTGTGGATGACCTCTGACCTACTTTCTGTGCGATCTGAATTTCTGAATTTTAGAATACAGGTGCATCTCAATAAATTAGAATGTCATGGAAAAGTTCATTTATTTCAGTAATTCAACTCAAATTGTGAAACTCGTGTATTAAATAAATTCAATGCACACAGACACCAAAGACTTAAACTATTTCAGTCTGTGTGCATTGAATTTATTTAATACACGAGTTTCACATTTTGAGTTGAATTACTGAAATAAATGAACTTTTCCACGACATTCTAATTTATTGAGATGCACCTGTATTAAATTTGAGGTTCTGAATTACTTCTTCATCTTGAAAACTTGAAACTGTATTTTTAAAAACTGGATATTTGCAGTCTAAGAATTCAGAACTAAAAATCTGCTGTTTGAAAATGCATGTCTATAAAACTCTTTATTCAATTGTGTTAAATTTCAAATGTCACATAATATTGAGTTTTGTTAAATGACACTTGTCAATAATTTAAATTTACACAATTCAAATTCAAATAGTTTTGTCATATTTTAAGCTCCATACTATGTGCCTAAACTCAAGGAATCCCCCCGTCCCCTTAAATGAATTAATTGAATAGGGCACTAACAGTGTCATTGACATCAGGTTCATCACTGGATGGGACTGTGAGATGCCATAAAAATGCGCCACATTTGGACAAACAGTGATGTCAGTAAAGGGACATAAATACTGGAATGACATACCACTTGCAAATAGATTCTAATCAGATTAATCATAGAATACAAATGTCCATGATAGCTGCGTTCACTGTCACTGTTAGGGACTGGCAGTAGCATTTGATTACTGGTGTGAGTCTTGAAATGTTTTGTTCATTCAGCAGGATAAAGTAGCTGCTAATGAACGAACAGCTCAAGTCACAACCGTATCACAATTGACAGCATGTTAAATATGAGTCCGAGACATGAGTTCATCCATCACTGTAACGCATCAGTGTATTTACATAACTGGCATAATTTATTTTGTTGACGTGTCATTTTGGCTCTATATGCAATAAGGGAATGATTTACATTTTACACTTTTTAGAGCCATCTTAAACGGTGACCGAAAAGTAAACCAGATCTGTGATCACTTGTAATGCTTTGTCACTTTTTTGAGTATGGTGTACTAGTAATTTTACGTTGACATTTATGTATTGTATTTTTGTATCTGTATATTGTCATTGTCTTTGTGTTACCTGTGTAGGGACTACAGATGTAAATTAGCCATGTTTCTATAATATGGCATGTTCATTTACATGCATTGTCCCTATTAACAAATAAACAAACAAAACTTCTGAGTGAATTCCCACCGTTGTGTTTCTAGTAACAGTGAAGAGGGTCGTCACACTTTATTTTAAGGTCCAATTCTCACTGTCAACTATTAAATACGACTTATGCGTCAATAAACTCCTAATTTGTTGCTTGTTAATAGTTAATAAGGTAGTTGTTAAGTTTAGGTATGGGTTCGGATTAAGGGATCTAAAATATGGTCATGCAGAATAAGGCTATAAGAATATGTGCTAATAAAAAGCCAATATGCTATTAATATGCATGCTAGTTAATAGTGACAATTGGTCCTTAAAATAAAGTATTACTGGGAAGAGTTTTCCCAACACACTCACCCTAACAGTGGTGCGGCTGTCAAACGTAAAGGATTTGATCTGTCCATTTTCAAGAAACACCTTCAACACATTTGGTATCAGAAGCAGAGAGTCGTCCTTAAGCATGGTCTGAAAGAAACATGGGAGAAAGAGGAGAGAAAATAGTAAGTGAACCTTGGATGAGATATTAGAAAAGACTCAATAGGTTAATACAGAGAATCAATAAGAAAATCTAATATCTTCTAAGTGACAAAGAAAGAATGTAGAAACACATGAGAGGACTTTAACTGTATGGAAAACCTGAAAGGAAAAACATTAAGTCCAAAACAATGGTTAAAGGGAAGATCTTTCTATCTAACGTATGAGCAATAGTTGAAAGGAACTGGAAATATTACCAAAACTCTTCTTTAGACATAAAGAGGTTACACTTTATTTCGATAGTCCACTTTAGACATTCTACTAACTATAAGTAACTTTGTAACTACATGCCAACTAATTCTCATTAATTTGCTACTACATGCCTACTAACTCTCAGTAGGGTAGATTTAGGGTTAGTAGAGTAAGTTGACATATACTTGCAAAGTTTCTCATAGTCAGTATATTGTATTTTGTGGACCCATCAAAATAAAGTGTTAGAAGTGTTAGACTGCTAGTTGACACGTAGTTGCAAAGTTACTTATTGTTAGTAGAATGTCTAAGGTGGACTATCGAAATAAAGTGTTACCCATAAAGAGTACAGAACTAAGCAGAAGTCATATCACATTCATTCCACATCCAACGCGGAACCATATTCTGTAAATGCAGATCAACTGGACACAAACATTGAATTCAATTGCAGCATATACAGTATTTGTAGCTAAGAGAGGAACTCTTCAAGGCATCTACTTTATTTCCAATAAGAAAAATTAAAGGCGCACTAAGTAATTTTTTGTGTATGTTGAACTAGCTCGTTAATTTTCCTGCTTCAAAGCCTATGGCGTCATTGTTAAAACCCTGTGGAACCAATCCTAAACCATCGATCCTCATTCAATTGAAACAGTCTGCTGTCTTTAAAACAGTGAGTCACCAGATTCTTCTGTCACTCATTCTCCCTGAACTGGGCATCAATAGAAATACACTGTACTATTTTGAGCCTGATCTAATAGCAGATCCTTCAAAGTATCCTGGAAAGGGTTTCTAAATCACATCAAGTAGCGGAGTGCCTCAAGTTTCAGTGCTTGGCCCCTTCCTCTTTAGAGCATTAGGAAAATCGGACCTTGCATGCACAGTTCTTGCGCAGGCTCTTTTCATCTCAAGACTGGACTATTGCAATTCTCTATTGGCTGATAATACAGCACACAGCAATTGGTCTGGTTTTCATCTAAAAAGGTCCATGCTACACCCCTCCTGGCCACCTCTAGAGGGCTTTTGACACTTGAAATAGTTAACCATGGGTCATTCTAAACCCCGGTTAAAAAACGTTTCTTTGAATGTATTTTAAGTGTGGAGAGACTAGTGTTTGCTTTTACAGTAGCATCATTGTTTATAGCCCCATCCTCATCTTGGAAATTATGGGTCGCTCCCAAAAGTCATCACTGGTGGCGTTTCTTTGCTAACAGCACATTTTGGATGTGCCACTTTCGAATGACACAAACAACATTCATGTACTTCGTAAACGATTTGAGAGACCACATTATGGAAATCAACACTTTTTTGAAAGATGCTATTGATACGGAATGGAGAGTCGCAATTACAGTACATTGTGGTGCCTAGCAACAAACGCAGAGAACAGGACCATCGCTAAACTCTTTAGAGTCAGGATTTCCACCATTTGCACTGTAGTTCATCAGGTACACTATGTCTAACATATGTTAAAATTTTCGTCGTTTGACATTTCTTACTTTTTCCCTCAAACGTTGTAGTTTACACAATGCGCAGTTCCTGTTACTGACCGCGCTGTTCAATTTCTGATAGGTTGTCTGTCGCTAAGCATCCAGCAGTAGCATTCTAACACAAAAGCAATGCTAGCCCCGCTTCTAAATCACATGTGTGAAACGTTCCTTAATGTTCTGGGGTTAAAAGCTGTGTTTAGAATGCCGATAACCGGGGTTAAGCACAGTGTGAAAAGCCCTTAGCTGTCCATATAACACTCAAGGCTCTGATGCCTATATTCAGAACTGTCCTGGATCTAGATGTGTCACACTCACTGTTCTTTCTGTGGCAGAACAACCTTCCAGACCTTCCAGACAGAAGAATAAATGTAACTATAAATCTTTCTGAACAACCAATGACGATGACTTTGGATGTTCTCCTGACACCTGTTGCTGAAGATACTGTACAGTAAAAGGTTAAAGCAAAGTTTTGGTATGGCATTTAGATACATAATTGTCTCATATGATTATTTTATTTTGTAATGGAAAGTTTCAGATAATAATGAAGTTACTAATGGTATTTGCCATCATTTTAATTATATTTGTTAAATATTCATTTGCGTACAACTTCTAAAAAGTGTTCAAAAATTACTTAGTGCACCTTGAAGTGGGTGAGAAACCTTGAAGGTAATTTTGTATCAAGAATGAGCAGTCATTACTTTTAAATAACATCCTGATGTCAGAATCATATTGATTTGTGGCAGTTTCCACATTATTTTTGGAAAGTGTCATAACTTTCTATCAGCTGTCCATTGATCTTCCACTGAGTGTCATCAATAAGATTATTTCATGTAATCAAATGCTGACATTGAATGAGGTCTGATACACCCATGAAAGTTTCTATATACATGTTTTGGTACATTTGGCATGTGTTTTACCCAAAGTCCCTTTAGGCTTGCTTCTGGAGACGTGTGCAAAGTGCTATTACACTTTATACACAAATACAGAATGGAAACAAATAAGCAAGCGTCAATTTGGCATGTCAGTTGGGATCATGTTATGACAGGTGGTGAAGTGAGCAGGTTGGCTAACTGTATTTCGTACATTCACCACAATCCCAATCAATTGCACTTTTGCTACAGCGTGAGATGATGTGATATGAATAATAAGTCCCACGTTGGCATTTGTCTTTAAGCCTAACCCCTTTAATAAAACGTAGCAGCTTATGTACTCTGTGCTGACAGGCGAGTTTAATGAAGAAAGCCCCGCTGGCCCCTGCTGATCACACAAGATGGATTGACATGATTAGAGGAGGCTCAGGTGAGGGTGGTTTGATCTTTACCGATTTTGGCCCTCTAGGCCTGATCAGCAAGTTTCTTCTTCCAGGAGAGTTGCACACCCCTCCCATCGGTCCGCTTTATTAAATTGGTGCGACCAGCACCCAAGGGTGTAGTGTTGACTCTTCCTTGCTCACAAGGCAGATATCAAACTGTATGGGACATAATCCATGGACATTGACATTAACATGGGTGCTATCGACCCATGTTCACCAAGAGGAGATGGCAGCTGTAGAGCTAATGAAAAGCTACGAATGAATGAATGTCTAGTCACAACATTAAAGGTTATGGGGAGGTTGTGCCTTTCTCTAGATGCGATGCTACCTTATTCAATTACCGCTAAGTAGGCTGGAACTGTTCAAAGGACGCTGATGCTAAGTTACTCCACGTAACTCTGTTACCTAAACACCTCAATCAGAAGCAGTGGGAATTACTCAAAGCGCCTGCTGTAAGAATTTCCCTTTTCAATAGCCACAGGAAGTCACAGTTTCAGTACTGTTGCCGTTATGTTCAAGTCAGTCAATAGTAAATCCAAATAAATCTCAGCAAACAAACTAGGACTCATATTTTATTCAGAGAAAGAACATCTGTCAATATCTGCCCGGCTGACTTCAATGCAAATCTACTCTACGCATGTGAAACAGAGAAACACTAGAGCCTTTGAATTCCAACCAAATCAAGCGTAGTCGGTTCCAAGCCCTGTGTTTTCATGTATGTGCTTTAATAAAGTCTGAGTTCATAGATGGTGCAGGAAGACGAAATCACATCAGAAGTGCACATACTTTGGATTAATCCTTTTAGCTTCTCGAAATGTTGGACCACATCAGACCATCAGAGAGGGATTTACGTGTGGCCCCTCTGGGTAACAAACCTGCAGTCTGATGAAATGAGATGAGCAGGAGATGCGGAGTGAATTGCACTTCAATATTGAAAGTCTGAAATGACAGCCATGTAACGCTCTCAGTAGGAGACACTAGTGATTGACACTTTGTAAATACTAACGAATATTAGCATGAACAGACTGTGAACAGTCACGTCACAAAATATCTTGAGTCCATTCGACAAACTCAAATCTCACAATCCATACAAGTCATATCAGGAGCTATTGAGTCTATCAGGAGCGTTGGTGTTGTGCGGGTCTCATTACAGCACATAAAGAAAGCTGCGTTAGCACAGATATGACTGGGGTGTGATGTGAGCAAGAGACAGCAGCACATACTGAGTCTGGGTCGCTGATGGACACTTGCTCAGAAAAGCGCACTTTGGGGGGATTGGTTCGCAGACGAGCTTTCTTGGCTGCACTTATGAAGGCAGACTTAGGTGACTAAGGAAGCAAAAAGAAAGACAAAGGGAGGGTATGAAGAAAGAAAGAAAGAAAGAAAGAGAAATAGACAGGAAAACAGAGGTTAAGACTTTAGAGTAAAACCTTTAAAACCATTCACCTGGTCCTAAACATATTCTAAATATTCTCTGCAAACAATTCATAATATCTTATGCAGTATTGCTTCTCAAGTAAAGTATCTTCTTTTATACATTTTTACTTGAAAACAAGATGCAGCAGAAACATTTTGTGTTGCTTTGACCCCGTCAAGTGTTTACCATTGATTAATTTGCATAAAATATCTAATGTGTTTACTGTATATGCAAATTTTTCTCTGACAGAGCTGGGTAGCAACTGATTATATGTATTCTGGATTACGTAATGAGATTCCAAAAATTAAGTTCTCGTAATTACGGTATATTACATTTTATAATGCTCAATCAGATTACAGTTACTTTTTTATGATTACAGGATTACATATTATTCACATGATGGCAGTAAATTATTCAAAATTTATTTTTTCTCCTTTTAATGATCCTTTAGCTTTGACTATATTCACAATATAGAATGGCCATGTAAATGTAAACCGTGCTTCTGAAATTGGGTGAAAAATGCAGCTCTCAAGCAATTAGACCATGTATGAAACAAATAATTATGCAAGTTACTAAACACAGGTGATGTATAGCTGTGAAACACTATGTCTTCATCATATCCAGTGACTTTTAGTAACTGTTGATTCTGGAAGTCTGGACAAAGTTTTTCAAACCTGGAATACCTTGGGTGTGTAATTTTCATGTTTGTTCATGTAATTAATTTTTTTTTTCATGTTTTTGTTTGAGGAAGTAAAAGGCACAATATGTTGTAAGATTTTTTTGATCAAAATATCCAAAAACCACTAGAACATTGTTATATATTTTGCTGACTTGTGTACTTACATTATCCCAAATGTTTTGAATCCGAAATCCAGAGCAATAAGCAATTTTAACCGTGTCTATAGTGTCATTGTGTCGCCTGCCAATGACGTCATAACCCCTCGATTTCCGGTTTTGTTTTGTAGAAAACATGGAAACACCAAAGACGCTTTAATATGCTATGTATTTTATTAGAACGTTCAGAACGTTCAAACATATCTAGTATGATAAAACAGCGCTGCTTTACCCCACATATGCACGACCGGAAGCAGCGGAAGCGGTCGACTGTGGCATAATAAAAGCTCCGCTGCTTTCGAGCCGTGTGTCACGCTCGTCTCTCATTAGCAATTGCTTCAGCGGCCTCGTTTCGCTTCGACGGCTTTCAGCCTCACTCTGCTTCATACTACGATGTTAATAAATCTTTAATACATTAGCTCAGCCATGAACAGGATTTATGCATAGCATCGGCTGTGGGGATGAAGACGACAACTCTCATGATTCCACACTCAGTCACGGCGTCATCAAACTACGACTTTGTTTTTTTGTTTGTTTTGAATATGCGCCCTCTAGCGGCGAAAACTTACATATTGTGCCTTTAATATTTCAATAATTTAACAACACATTCACATGTTTACAGATCAATGCCAGTTAATGGTCACATTGACATGCAGGTAAACAAATAAAATATAGCTATTTTTAGTGTTCAAGTGTTTAAATAATTTATTTTATTTTACATTTTTATGATTGAATGAATTATTAGCTTTTTATCAACTCACAAACTCACTGGAGTTCTTACATTAAGCCCAGTTTGGGAAACCCTGCTTAATGTAATGTTTAATGCATTTTATGATATTGATATCAAAGAATTAAATATATTTTCTTTGTATTTGCTTTTTTATATCAATATGGTACATTTAATGGCAAGTTTAAAACAAGTTAGATAAAAAAAAACAATCTAAAAGTAATCTAAAATTGTAGTTTACTAACTACAATTTTCATCATATAATCTGTAATCAGTAACGGACTACAATTTGTAAGTAATCTACCCAGCACTGTTCTCTGAATATCATATGACTTAGAATGGAAGTACAACTGGAGTTGTATATACAGAGGATCACTCTTTCTTCTGTCAACAGCTATAGATTGTACTCTGCAAGCTCAGTAGCAACCAAGGTCAAAGTTGAAATTGTTTAAACTTTTGAGCGCTGCTGCAATGTGGCAGCAGGGTTAATGCTCAGTTGAGCTCAGTGCATTGGGGGACGTTGACACAAATCATTCACATGACATTTTCACTCCTGAGCTTTAGTCTCAATATACTAATTATGTAATTATGTATGTATAGTAATTATGTAACATTGGCACAAAGCAAACGCACACAAAGCTGAACCTGAATTTCAAATTCCAGTAAAAACGTACACTCTGTATTGAAAGTAGTTTGACTGCATCACTGAAAGGGACTGATTTAATGTAATTTTGATTGGAGAAAACATAATGTCCTTAACTACCTGTTGTGGTTGCAGCACAGTGAGAACAATCGAGTCCTTGCACCTCCTGCAGAAGAAAAAAACATTTTGGCAAGGGAGCTGCAGAATGTGAAAAGTGTGTCTTATCTGAAATGAATTCTCTTATCTGATGGAGACACATGGAATAGAAATACATAAAGCACAGTCATGCGTCCAGACAAGGCCCTTCCCTCTGGTGACAGTAAAGGGTGTTACCTTACAAGGTCTATGACTTTCTCCCGGGGCGCGTCGCTCACGAGTTCCTGGTTGATGGCAAGGATCTGATCTCCGGGGTAAAGCTTGCCGTTTGAGGGTCCGTCTGTAAGGGAGGAGTCTGTAAACTTGTGTTGTTCTTTATAGACTTGATTAGTTAAAGCCCCCTGACATTGTTTTCATTTTTTCCTGTCCTAAAATATATGCTAATATAGATCACAAAACCATTTTAGTCACTCTTGTTTCCTAAGGCAGTGATAAAAACCTATCCTACAGTGGATTTTCACACTTATCTTGGCAAGGCATCAAACAGAAAGTATCGGAATTCCCATTTGATTATAGTCATCTCAAATCTGAAGACTCAAAAGCCTTTAAAAAAAGATGAAGCTGACTGGCTGGCACACTGGAGCCAGGGGACAAGAGACATCTGCCCTATAGCTTCAGACAGAGACACACGTCTTACCTGCAGAGACAGAGCGTACAACAACAGGCCGTTCGCTGCCGGCAATAAACCCGAAGCCGTGGCTTGGATGGCGTTGGATGCAGACCTGTCGAGCTGAGCCAGGAGTCAGGCTACCACTGTCCATACCATCCTGACTGTCCTCTAACATCACAGAGCTACGAAATAAGACAAAGTTCTTGATTATCCCTAAAATTAAACCTCATTTCTATGGTGACACAAATGACAAATGTATATATTCCAAGTAAACATGCTTTTTATTGTGCATGATTTGCACACCTATCCCTGCATTAGGTTTTCAATATCTAACAAGACCCGGCAATTACATTTACACAGACAGTCTTCTCTGTATCTCATATAACAGCTGGCCATTAAAAAAACATCAATGCTTTGTGCCATTTTTTGATTCAGTGTTGTATAGAGGAGGTGATTTCCTTTGTACGTGTGGGAAGATAAGGTAATGCCTCTTTTATGTTTCCCATTGTTCTCATATGACATAAGAGTATTATTAATGACTGTACCTGTCATATTCCTCTGTGTCCCCATCCTGGACCCGGGCCATCCCCTGAAAGGACAGAACCGGACCTTGTGAACCGCTTCAGAGGGCTGGCTCTGTTTTGTACACATTCACCTGGGTGGACAAAGATGATGAGAAGATGAGTTGTAATTTATAGGAGGTAATACCACACTTTTTTTTATTCTTTCTTTCTTTCTTTCTTTCTTTCTTCCTCTGTTACACTTATGGGTTTTTATAATTCACACTTTTTATTTTCCTTCAATAGGCAACACAGTACACTCCATTTTAAAATAGAGGGTATTGTCAAAGCCCCTCCCACTAGACTACCAATACTACACACGTCAGTCACAGTTATGCAGATTGCTAGAACAAATCTGAGAAAAAATAAGATAAAATATAAGAAGTTTGTATAAAAAAAAAGGAAAAGATGATCACAAAAGTATACAATTCCCATTCTTATGTTGCATCTCACCACCAGGTTATTACCCTGTGTAATATTCACGTAAGCACTGAATATTTGCGGCACTAATTTACGGTACTACGGCAAGAGATTGGCGGGTATCGGCAGTGATTGGTCACATGTGAATGCGGTTGCACGCAGTGGATTAAAAGCTCAAAGTTTGTTTGGTACTCACTGTTCGTCTCCTTATTTAAAACTGCATGCACCGTGCAATAAAAGCAACAAACAAAGAATAAGACACCCTGTATCCTCAATCTACCCTGTGTCCATGTTTACTAGTTAGCTATAAAACTTTTTTTTTTCTGCCACATTCCCCATTTCTATAACCCATTCTTGAAAAGACAGCATCCTGTTGACCACCAACCTCTCATAATAATATGTCTTCCTTCCCTACTAATCTCAACATTAGTGAGTGAAAAAGATGGATCAGGATATAAATAAAAGCTCAAAGTTTGTTTCGTACTCACTGTTCGTCTCCTTATTTAAAACTGCATGCACCGTGCAATAAAAGCAACAAACAAAGAATAAGACACCCTGTATCCTCAATCTACCCTGTGTCCATGTTTACTAGTTAGCTATAAAATATTTTTCTGCCACATTCCCCATTTCTATAACCCATTCTTGAAAAGACAGCATCCTGTTGACCACCAACCTCTCATAATAATATGTCTTCCTTCCCTACTAATCTCAACATTAGTGAGTGAAAAAGATGGATCGCCTAGGATATAAATACTTGGGCAAAATGAAAAGCAGCATACTGATACTTTTTGAATATAATCATGAACCACAAACCAAAATTCCTGTATTTTATAGCAGGATCACAGAGCATATATCAGATTTTTCCACTCATATTGCCAACATTCATCTGCTGGAAGTCTAATAAAAAGTGATTTAATATTTTTAATTGAACAAGTCGTACTACAAGGTTTCCAAGACTTTACCTTACGATTCTGACAAAATCTGGAATGTTACTAATTTTAACATTCAGGTATCATCTGTAGCTGATGCTATGGGAACACCCTCCAGGTGTGCTAGTTTTCTGTATCCCGATTAAACACATGACAATCCATTGGCTGATGGTTCTAACGCTGTCCTCTGAGACACAACAAAAGGACTTGCCGCACCATCAATTTTCAGATTTCTCTTCCTTGTGTTTCAGTGACCATCATCAAGTAGATATTTTATTTCCTCGGGGGGAACATGATGTCGTTCAGGAAGTGAGGACTCACATGAGATTTGTGTCAAGTGTTTGCATGTGCAGCATGCATGAGCCACAGTTGATGGCACCTCCAACTGCATGCACTGTGATAATTTCAAGATGAAAGCTCTCGGCTTGCTTCTTTTCAAGGACATAAATTGCTGTTGTCCTGCAGTAGTAGGTGCCACATGGAGTAGGTTCCTGGGGATCCGATGTTGAGCTGGACGCTAAGAAGAGTGAGCAGACAGTTTTCCCTCTCTCTCTCTCTCTCTCTCTCTCTCTCTCTCTCACCGGACCGTGTGCACTCCATTTCTCTGGATGAATTCACAGGTGAGGCGAGTTCAGAGTGCGTCAGACTCTGAGGAGCGGACAGGAGGCGCAGCCTTCTGTGGCTTATACTGAACGGTTGAATGTTGTTTCACATGCTGTTGAGAAGCTGAAGCTGGACTGGCCCAGTGTGTCGCAGGCCATTGCTGTTCTTTCAATACCTCCATTAGGAGATCTTGAGGACCTGGAAGCAGCCATTCTCAGCCTGACTACTTTTGCCATGCTACTTTTGACTTCACCACCATTACGGGTCTAATGGAGCAGGGTTATTTGGAGATGCTGGCACTCAAAGAGATTGGTGCCATTAGTGAATCTGAAACCGAGGCATACATTGATAAGTTCCATACTGCAAAGCAGCATTTAGCAGCTTTCTGGCAACTTATTCCTCACAGAAAGGTTGAGGTCTGCTGCCTTACTGATGGCACATGAGCAACCTTGAAGGGTCGGCGATAAATTCGGTGATTAAGTTTTAAATTTGTTTCTCCTCAGAAGGAATCTGGCAATTAGGCCGCGTGTCCACCAAAGCGATTTTTCCCAAGGTTAGCATATTTTTTTCAATTGTTTTAAATGGGAACGCCGCGTTTTCTGAAACACCAGGAGAGTGACGAGGCACTGAGAGCTGTGCGCTCTGTGTTTTTTTTTCAGTGCCAAGATATGAAGAATGTTCAACTTTGGGTAAAATGCAGTTCTCATCACTGTCATTTTTTAATCAGCTAACCAATCACAGTGGAGGAGGGGTGGGACTAATACCAACACACCGACCAACCGTCACACCCTGCTTGTACTATGACTGAACAACAATGGAGAAGTTAATATTGCTTGTCTCTGCGTATTCATGTCTTCAGCAGATGGAATTCCCAGACTACCCCAATATTATGAAAAATAATGCTTGGAGAAACATTTAATTTGTGATGCATCTGTCCTATTACTGCCCTATTGCCCTATTATATTACGGATATTCTGTATCATAGCAACCAAAGCGTCTCAACTGAAAATGCTGCGCCGCAGAAGCGCTCTCAAGTGCTCACAGCTAGGTGTTTTCAGCTCGCTAAAAACGTTTTGGTGGACACGCGGCCTTACAGCTGGTATTTCTAGTGCCAAAGAAGTATTGCGGCGATTGCTGCTGAGCATGAAGCAGTTGAGGTTGTTTCGTTAGGGAGGCATTTGCTTGTCTCCTGTTTCATGCAAGGGACAAGAGGGTTGAAACGCTTGTGATCCTTCTTATCTGTAGTCTTAGAAGGGTTGACAGGGCCTCAATTTGAACCATTGGAGTAAGCTTCTAGGAGAATTCTGACTCTTAATTTGTGTTTATGGCCTTCACATCCTTGAAGTGGATTGTTGATTTGCAGGCCTTTTAGGGGGTTATCGGGATTTTGTTCACGGGTTATTTAAGGTCTTGCTGTGACCTAAGACAGGGTATTTTCCTGAGTTCGCGTCTACATCTTTCCGCTCTCAAATTTTCTCTTCCGCCTATTCAGTTGCAAGGGAATGAGAGGCTGCAGTCTTTGTCCTGTAAGGGCGTTAATGATTTACTTAAACCGTACAAGCCAGCGGCATAAATATGATCAGCTGTTTGTTTTGTGGTTGTAACAAAACAAAGGTTGTTGCATTGGGTGAAGGATGCGATTTCTCTCGCCTAGGAGGCACGGGGACTGTCTTCACCTCTTGGCCCACTCTCGCCTTGTCGCAGGCATCTATCTAAGGGTGCCCCCTTTGGAAGATATTTTTGTGGTGGCAGGCTTGGCCTCCTCGCACACTTTTATCAGGTTTTATCAGTTGAATGTGGACTTGACTTCTGTTTACCCATCTGTTTGAACAGCGGTCAGTTAATTTCTGTGTCAGTCAGTGCACAAGCGATAATCTTGCAGTTACCCAGTAGCATGCAGCTGCGGCATTCCCATAGCATCAGCTACTGACACAGTGTTGAATGAACCTACAAAAGGGAATATTTTGGTTACGTATATAACCCTGTTTGAGTATGGAAAAGAGACGCTGCGTAACTCTGCCATATTCTTTCATTACTGCTATGACTTCCTTCATCAAAATCTGATGATTGATGGCATGGCGTGCCTTTTGAGGTGCAGATAATGTGGGTGAAGTGAGTGAGTGAAGTGACGTGTGGCCAAGAATGGTGACCCATACTCGGAATTTGTGCTCTGCATTTAACCCATCCAAGTGCACACACACACACACAGCAGTGAACACACACACACACACCGTGTACACACACCCGGAGCAGTGGGCAGCCAAATTGCTGCGGCGCCCGGGGAGCAGTTGGGGGTTCGGTGCCTTGTTCCTGCCGGACCTGAGACCTTCGGGTTACAAGTCCGACTCTCTGGGGCAGTCGTGGCCTAATGGATAGAGAGTTGGAGGTCGCGGGTTCGAGTCTCAGGTCCGGCAGGAATTGTCAGTGGGGGGAGTGAATATCCAGTGCTCTCTCCACCTTCAATACCACGACTGAGGTGAGACCCTTGAGCAAGGCACCGAACCCCCAACTTCTCCCCGGGCGCCGCAGCATTGGCTGCCCACTGCTCCGGGTATGTGTGCGCGTGTTTGTTCACTACTCACTCCTGTGTGTGTGCACTTGGATGGGTGAAATGCAGAGCACAGATTCCAAGTATGGGACACCATACTTGGCCACACGTCACGTCCTCCTCCCGCAACCTTCGGGTTACAAGTCTGACTCTCTAACCATCAGGCCACGACTGCCATCAGCCACTGAATTGGTTTGTTTTATTTCAGCTACTGACGCACCATCTCGTTACCTACTCGTGGAACCAGGGTTACATACATAACCACAGTGTTTTTATAGTACAATGAATTTTCTTTAATTTCAAAGGATCAAGGATTTCTTAAGACATGACTCCGGTAAGGAAAGAAACTATTCTGGTATTTTACACTTTCTAAATGATAAAATCAAATTGTTCTGGTGAGGTAAATTATCCAATGAGGCTGCAGATATTATCAATCAACCAACCAACCAACCAACTATAAACCAGTTATTTCAGATAATATTTTATTCCCTCTTTAGCATAGATTCCACATGTCCTTGATTTGTATGTAGATTTATGGAGCTTACACCAATTCATACTACAAATTTAATTAACTTTAATAACTAATTTAATAACT